TGTATATATTTCTGTATATATTTGTGTATGTGTATATATGTGTGTGTTAGTATATATGTGTGTGTTTGTGTGGTTTTGCGCATGAGTTGTAATGAATTTTTAATTTTTTGTCTTTTTAAGTCTCTTCTGCTGTGTTTTCCAGTGTTTTTATGAATGATGGTCACTCGTTGGCCTGATAGGTGTATTATGTCTAAATTTGGTGTCAATTCGTCCAGTGGTTTTTTAGTTATGTTTATCCCACAAATGAACATTACATTTTTATTTATATAGATTGGTGTTTTAACATTTTCTCTGAACTATTTTGCATTTGCATTGACATTTTTACTAAAATGATATGACTGATATATGCTTTTATCTGTTCTCATTGGTTGCCCTTGAGAACAGTCTTTTGTCATTATGATTGATTTTCTTCTGGGTGCATCTCTCTTGAATTTATGTATAATACTAGTCGTCCCCTGCCACGTGTTGCTGTGGCCCTCAGAGGAATTCCAGGCATGAAACAATAGACAGAAGCAGGCTTGTAGCCCGGGGGGGGGGGGGGCTTGAGGGGTTTCAGCACACCCCCACCCCCCACACCCCAAAATTATCATGGTGGTCCGCAAGAAGGCCTTACTGCTGTATTATTTAAACTGTTATGTTTATTCATATCATGATCTGATCACCATAATATATCCCATATGCATGGGGGTATTGGGGTAACGATACAAAAGGTTTGCTAGGGTAGACCCTCTTTCACTCAGACTCAGCCCTCCGCCCCCGAATCAAACTCACCCCCCCTTCCCATACATTGGGTTGTTAGGTGTCTTGTGTCCAAATTTGGTGTCAATTCGCCCAGTGGGGTTTGAGTTATGTTAATCCCACAAACGAACATTACATTTTTAGTTATATAGATTTTCATCTATATGCATACACTAAGATCTAAGTCACACAACCATTTCTATGGCACAAGGTTCTAAAATTATTCTCCTGTGTGCTCACTTTGCGATTCGGTTTATCTTCATTGATATGAAAAGTGGTCTTTCATGGCAAGATTACACATGCTCACATCCTGGGAAATTGTGAGAAAACAGTATAACTGGGTTTTAGTTCCACATGGCCGACCATGACAATTTATAAAACCTAAGACAGTTGAAGAATAAAAAAACAATAGATGCCATGTCTGCAGTACACACACACGTCCCAAAGATACACAAACAACCCAGCTGCTGGGGCTTTGCATAAGGAATTATGCAAGAAAACCAGTAATAATGTTCGCCAGCTGTTCAGTGTGGAAAACAAAGAGGTGGGGCTGAAATTAGTTATTGCTCCCCCCTTTACTAAACAGCTGATCACCCTTGATAGCAGAACCGCTGGATTGGGGTTTGGCATAAACATAATTTCCTTCCTAAAGTTTGCAAAAGGGTTAAAAAGTTAATTCTTAATTTATATTCAAGCAGGAAGAAGGGATCGCTCTTTATGTTCATAGAACAAACCGACAGAAATATACAGTGATGTGTTTTTCTTAGAAACTAAAGCAGGGGTCCTCAAACTAAAACCTAGGGGCCGGATACGGCCCTCCAAGGTCATTTACCCGGCCCTCACTCAGGGTCAACCTAAGTCTGAAATGATTTGAAAGCACACAACAACAACAACAATCCTACCTCATCAGTCAAAAGCAGGCCCACACTACCCACTGAAATACTAATAAGTTTATATTTGCTAAAATTGTTCTTCATTTTAATTATTGTATTGTTTTTAAGTGTTTTTTGTACTACAAATAAGATATGTGCAGTGTGCATAGGAATTCATTCATGATTTTTTCAAATTATAATCTAGCCCTCCAACAGTTTGAGGGACTGTGATCTGGCCCTCTGTTTCAAAAGTTTGAGGACCCCTGAACTAAAGAAATGGCTGTATTTCTTTATAACCCCCCCCCCAAATTTGCATAAGGACTAGAAACTGTTTTTATTAAATACTCCAACAGCAAATTAGCAATTGTTCAATTTTATGTGTTGTTTAATTATTTTAATTCTATTCATCATATCACATTGAGCATGTTTACACACATCATAGCTGATAGAGTCTGTGGCATTAGCATGCTAACCTCAGTAGTGCCTGTTGTGTTCCTATTCAGAAGTTATTGCTTAATTATTTGTCAATATGAATCTATAAATAGCTAGATTGGGGATCCTCAAATTGTGCTCCATGGAGCCCTTGAGGCTCCGTGGAGGATAGTGAGGGGCTCTGTGGCACCATGCTGCTTCCCACTTCCTTCTCTTTCCTCTTCCTTTGCAGTGTCTGTGTTCTCTTGGCCCTTTCTTCCCCACCTTCCTCACTGCCAATACTCTTTTTCTCATTGTCCAGACCCTCTCCCTCCTTTTTTTGCTACCAAAATCCTATTTCCCTCCCACCACTCAGGGGGCGCTTTGATTGTGCTCTTCACGCATGGCAGAAGGAAGTTGGAGAGAATGTGCCTGGGGGGTCTTCCACTGAAATACTGTAAAGTTGTTCTTCATTTTAAATATTGTATTATTCTTTTTCTTTTCTTTTTTCTTTTCTTTTTTTTTGTTTGAATTAGTTCACACAAACACTCTCCATCCATCTCTCATCCATCTCTCATCCAGCCCATGACTGATATTAGACAAGCAGACAAATGTCAGTATGCTGGAAGAAGCAAAGACCACCAGCATTGAAGCGATGGTCCTCCACTGTCAACTCCGCTGGACTTGCCACGTTGTCCGGATGCCCGACCACCGTCTCCCAAAGCAGTTTCTCTACTCCAAACTCAAGAACGGAAAACAGAATGTTGGTGGACAGGAAAAGAGATTTAAAGATGAGCTTAAAGCCAACCTTAAAAACTCTGGCATAGACACTGAGAACTGGGAAACACTAGCCCTTGAGCGCTCCAGTTGGAAGATCAGCTGTGACCAGCAGTGCTGTAGAATTTGAAGAGGAACGAATAGAGGGCGAAAGAGAGAAACGTGCCAAGAGGAAGGCACGTCAAGCCAACCCCAACCAGGACCGCCTTCCACCTGTAAACCGATGACCTCACAGTGGGAGATCATGCAGGTCAAGTATAGGGCTCCATAGTCACCTACGGACCCACCGCCAGCACACCTATCTTGGAAGCCAATCCTACTTGGACAACGAGGGATCGCCTAAGTAAGTAAGTAATAATATAATATATAATATTATAAACATTTCTTGGGACTCCACAAGAAACTTTTGCTACAAAAAGGACCCCTTGGCTGAAATAGTGTGGAACCCTGATCTAGATGCTTTAAGGCCACTTCCACACTGCCACATAAAATACAGATTATCTGCTTTGAACTGGATTATATGGCAATGAAGACTCATATAATCCAATTCGAAGAAGCTAATATGGATTATCTGTTTTGCTAATCTGGATTATATGGCAGTGTAGAAGGAGCCTAAGAGGACAGGCTGCAAATTTGTTTCTTTTAAAATGTTTTGAATACTAAGTTTTAGTAAAGTGGCAGTGACTTGGTGTAAAAATATATTAAGTTCACGTGAATGATTGTTTTACAACCTGTATTTATTTCTTGGTTTTATCATTTTGGGTTTCACAGTTTTTAAACAAAAACTTCTGATGATGTGAGAGGTAACGTATTGGGAGTGTAGAACTTTCATACATAGGCAATGTGAACACAACCTTCCTCGTGTTGACATATGAGACCTTAAAAACATTTAATAACATTTATCCTATCAGAAAGAGGCACCAAACGCTTATTACATTCAGGCTGATATGATCAGATTGTCTTCAAAGTCTCTCCTTACATGGATATCAAGATTTCGGAAGCAAGTTTTATCTTTGACAAAAGATAAACAAACACCAACTGCTTATATAAAAGTCTGTATAAAATAGGTTTCGTTCCATTACAAAAATAATTAGTTGATGAAACTTGTAATACAGTACAGTACTAGAAAGAGAAAGGAGGTCACAGAAGAGCAAACAGTGCTGGCTCCAGATCAGATCTCACTGTATGATTCACTGGGCACAGAGCAGATCTCCACACACCAAAACCCTTTCTGAATCATAATATTCAATATGGGCAACCACTCCACCTGGCATCTATCATTAGAGAGTAGTAGTAAAGTCTCAACACCAAAGGCTGTGGCAAGCCCTTCCAGTGGATCTCCACCTATATACGAGGGGTATTTTTTAAGTAAGGTCCGTTTTGTTGTAGACACTAGTAGTTCACGCGCATACTGCAACGAGCGCATGCGTCGTGTACCAGCATGCCTCGGGAACAACTGTGCTCAGTTTCCGCTCTGTAGCTAACCTGTACGGTTCTGTTCTGTGCTTTAAAAATGTTTAAGACTATCAACCCACCCTCCGCATGTGAGGTTCGCTCAGTGATACGGTTTTTGTCAGCAAGGAACCTGCCTGCTGCAGAAATCCATCGACAGATTTGTGAAGTGTACGGTGATACTGTTATGAGTGACAGCAAAGTACATAAGTGGGTACGACAATTCAAAGATGGCCGTGATAATGTCCATGATGAGGACCGCTCCGGTTGCACTTCTTTCATTACAGACAATTTGATTTGATCGCACACTCAAATCTTTGGTTTTTGTGGTTCTCTGTTAGGAGTTTCGGGACCCAATGGGAGCACAGTTCCCTAAACTTTAGGTCTTCAGAAACAATGTTGTAAAACACTGATCTCGACACGTCAGGAAATTCGTTTGAGAGACCTGTTATTGTGAAGCACCTGTTCTCACAAATCCTCGCTTCAACTGAAGCCACCAAATTGTCTGTAATCAAAGAAGGGCGACCGGAGCGGTCCTCATCATGGATGTTGTCACGGCCATCTTTGAATTGTCGTACCCACTTACGCACTTTGCTTTCACTCATAACAGTATCACCATACACAAATCTGTCTATGAATTTCTGCAGCAGGCAGGTTCCTTGTTGACAAAAACCGTATCACTGAGCGAACCTCACATGCGGACGGTGAGTTGATAGTCTTAAACATTTTTAAAGCACAGAACAGAACCATACAGAGCGGAAACTGAGCACAGTTGTTCCCGAGGCATGCCGGTACACGACACACGCGCTCGTTGCAGTATGCGCGCAAACTACTAGTGTCTACAACAAAACGGACCTTACTTAAAAAATACCCCTCGTATTACTGTTCCTGAGCATATATTAAACTGGACAGGTTGCAATCAAGTGGTATAAAAGGGCTTTCTGGTGGTTGACAAGGCAAAAGGTATTTTGTGCGAAAAGAGCCTCATCTGCTATAGCCAGAAGCAGATAAAATTGTTTATGAAAGAGGCTCTGCCCAAAGCTACAAGCATTTCAAAGGAGTATTAAAAAGTTGCATTATAAATAAGTGGAAAATTACTAAAATATCTTGCAGTGCAGTATAAAACAGAAAGAGAGAGAGAGTATCAGCAGCTGTTCCACACTCCAGACTATGCAACGGATGCGCCTGTATAGGAATAAATATTTGGATGTGGCTTTTCTGATTGTCTGCTGTTGTCTGTGCTGTTCCAACATGGCAGGGCTGCCACCAGCAAAAGCAGTCCTCCAGACAGAACGCAAAGTCCACTGAAGTAAAATGCTATGTTGTAAGACTTTGTCCAGTCATAAAACCAACCTGAGAAAAAAAAAACAAAAAGAGCTGTCAGGGGCTGCTAATAATAATAATAATAATAATAATAATAATAATAATAATAATAATAATAACTTTATGTGTAACCCACCCTATCTCTCCTAGGGGACTCAGAGCAGCTTCCAAAATGATAACAGGCAAACAGTCAGTCATGAAAACAGGCAAACAAAAGTAAAAAAAAAAAAACAGAAAAAAACAATGCAATATATTTCTCGGTGGATTAAAATGAACAAGTGCATCAAATAACTATCATTAAATAATAATCATTAAAACAAGTAAAAACCAGCGGAGGTAGAATGTCAAATTCATTCCTTTTCTGTTCATTAATCCGTTCCTTTTCTTTTCCATCACTGCAGTGAACTTTATTCCTCCTTATCATTGTATGTTGCACCTCAGAGTAGATTCACCTTGCTGAAAACACCAAACTGCACACAGCCAGAAGTCTTTATGGTTTATTAAAAATAAAAGGTAAAAAGTTCTTAAAAGCAAAGGTTAATGTTCCAAAGGTTAATGTTCCGAACGTATCTCCTACGTCCCACCTTCGGGGGAGGCCCTGCTCTCGGCCCCGCCTCTATCACAAGTGAGGCTGGTGGGGACGAGGGACAGGGCCTCCTCAGTGGTGGCCCCTCGCCTGTGGAATTCACTCCCCGGGGAAATTAGGTCATCAACATCCCTCCTCTCCTTCAGAAGGAAGCTGAAAACATGGATATGGGACCAGGCCTTTGGGTAATCTGGCAGATTGACAAGGTAATGATGACCAGAACTTGGAAAGGACTATGGTAATGCTGAATGGACTTACGGATTTTAGAACTCAGTGAACGTTGGCCACTAGATTGGCTTTTAATTGTTATTGTTTTAATTGATTGTTTTAACTACTGTGGTTATTGCTGTTATGTAATTTATCTGTTGAATTGCTGGCATCGAATTGTGCCGGTTGTAAGCCGCCCTGAGTCCCCCCTTGGGGGTTGAGAAGGGTGGGGTAGAAGTGCTCTAAATGAATGAATGAATGAATGAATGAATGAATAAAAGATCAATATAATATAGCACTTTGAAGCTTAATCCAAAAAGGTACCAGCAAAGCAAAAACCCAAGAGAACATGACAAAGTCCTGAAACCATGAACACAAGAACTGCAAGATAATCCAGCCAAGCATAGGCAAGCTTCTTAGATAAACGCGAAGTTGCTTTGACAGAGTTTTGGTCTCAAACACACTGCTTAATACCTTTTGCAAAACATGGCCTCCCTCTTGTTAGCTATTCTCACACTCCTTCAAACTCGGAATTCCAAATGGTCAGCCCGATCTAAGGTTCCCATTTCGTCAAGGTCAGTCTGTTTGTTAGTATCAGCCTGTTTCCCTGCTTGCTCATTATCAGGCTGAGAACTATCCTCCTTCTCTGAGTCAATCTGCACCTGCACCTGGCTATTTTCAGTATCAACAGTCTCATGCCTTGCTGTGGGAAACTGTACTTCCTCACTGACTATAATAGGGACGTCTATAATAGGAACATTTTGAACCAAACTGTGAACCTGAGTCCCATCATTCTCATCAGAGACACTCTGTGATTCCAGCTGAGTCACAACATTGTATGCTTGAGAGAATGTTTTAAGTTGCTTCTTAAAGGAGAGTAAGGTGGGGTCCATTTTGATCTCCTTGGGGAGGGCATTCCAAAGCAAGGGGCAACCACACTGAAGGCTCCCTCTCTCGTCCCACCAGCTGTGCTTGAGTTGGGGTGGGACCGAGAGTAGGGCCTCCTCAGGTGATCAAAAGAGCCTGGGCAAGCTTGTCCAAGGAGATGCAGTTTTCTAGATTGGCTTGGTCTGAACTGTTTAGGGACCACAGGTTTAGCACAGCTGGTAAATCATCAGCAATTATGAGATCTATCAACCGAAAGGTTGCAAGTTCGAACCCCGGGTTGCCGTGGGCAGCCAACCGTCAGCCCTGCCCACTGTTTACCTAAGCAGATCGAAAACAGCTTTAGTTGTAATTAGAGAGATTAGGTACTGCTAAAAAAGCAGGGGAGTGTTTTGCAATGCCATAAAGGAAAAGATTAGAAAATGCTGGAATGAGGAAGTCCTGACGGCTCTTCGTCATAGAAGATGGAGCGACAGCACCCCCTGTGGCATGACACAAAAACCTTCTTCTGTCTGTGTACTGTATACTGTCTATACCAGGAGTCCTCAAACTATGGCCCGGGGGCCAGATACGGCCCTCCAAGGTCATTTACCCGGCCCTCACTCAGGGTCAACCTGAGTATGTTTATTTGTGATCCACCTTGAGTCCCCTTCGGGGTGAGAAGGGTGGAATATAAATAAAATGTTGTTGTTGTTATGGCTTTAAAGGTAATGACCAACACTTAGTATTTAGCCCGGAAGCTAACTGGCAGCCAGTGGAGCTTCCGCAACATGGGACTGGTTCTCTCCCTGTGCAAAGCCCCGGTCAATAATCTGGCTGCAGATCTCTGAACCAGTTGAAGCTTCCAAACTCACTTTAAAGGCAGCCCCATGTCAAGAGCATTACATTAGTCCAAATGTGATGTCATTAAGGTGTGGGGTACTATGGCCAGCTCTGGCATCTCAAGATACGGGCACAGCTGGTGCACAAGTTTTAATTGTGTGCCGCTCCTGGTCACCGCCGACACCTGAAGCTACAGGGTCGGCTGAGTCCAGGAGCATCCCGACTGCGAACCTGTGTCTGCAGGAGGGGTGTGACTCCCATCCAACAAATACTTCGGCAAAAACAGAATTGTATTATCCTTCTAGGCAGTTAAAAATAACAGACTGCTTTCTGCTTGTCCATTTAAAGCAGGGGTCCTCAAACTTTTTAAGCAGAGGGCCAGGACTCAGTCCCTCAAACTGTTAGAGGGCCAGATTATAATTTGGGGGAAAAGAACACTTTGAAACAATACAATAATTAAAATGAAGAACAATTTCAACAAATATAAACTTAATGTATTATCGAAGGCTTTCATGGCCGGAATCACTGGGTTGTTGTAGGTTTTTTCGGGTTATATGGCCATGTTCTAGAGGCATTCTCTCCTGGCATTTCGCCTGCATCTATGGCAAACATCCTCAGAGGTAGTGAGGTCTGTTCGAACTAGGAAAAAGAGTTTATATATCTGTGGAATGACCAGAGTGGGACAAAGGACTCTTGTCTTCTGGAGCTAGGTGTGAATGTTTCAACTGACCACCTTGATTAGCATTTGATTGCCTGGCAGTGCCTGGAGCAATCTTTTGTTGAGAGGTGATTAGATGTCCTTGTTTGTTTCCTCTCCGTTGTTGCGCTGTTCTAATTTTAGAGTTTTTTTAATATTGGTAGCCAGATTTTATTCATTTTCATGGTTTCCTCCTTTCTGTTGGAATTGTCCAGATGTTTGTGGATTTCAATGGCTTCTTTATGTAGTCTGACATGGTAATTGTTGGAGTGATCCAGCATTTTTGTTTTCAAATAATACGTTGTGTCCAGGTTGGTTCATCAGGTGCTCTGCTATGGCTGAGTTCTCTGGTTGAAGTAGTCTGCAGTGCCTTTCATGTTCCTTGATTCGTGTTTGTGCGCTGTGTTTGGTGGTCCCTATGTAGACTTGTCCACAGCTGTATGGTATACGGTAGACTCTGCATGGTATACAGTAGACCCACCAAGAAAATCCAACAAATGCTTCGTTCAGCAAAGGACAAGAGGGATCCTCTCGCTTCTGCAGGAGTCTATCGTATACCATGCAGCTGTGGACAAGTCTAAAATTAGAACAGTACAACAGAGAGGAAACAAACAAGGACATCTAATCACCTCTCAACAAAAGAGAGGAGATTCCATCTGAACATGAGGAAGAACTTCCTGACTGTGAGAGCCGTTCAGCAGTGGAACTCTCTGCCCCGGAGTGTGGTGGAGGCTCCTTCTTTGGAAGCTTTTAAACAGAGGCTGGATGGCCATCTGTCAGGGGTGATTTGAATGCAATATTCCTGCTTCTTGGCAGGGGGTTGGACTGGATGGCCCATGAGGTCTCTTCCAACTCTTTGATTCTATGATTCTACGTTCCAGGCACTGCCAGGCAATCAAATGCTAATCAAGGTGGTCAGTTGAAACATTCACACCTAGCTCCAGCAGACAAAAGTCCTTTGTCCCACCCTAGACTCTTTCCACAGATATATAAACCCTTTTTCCTAGTTCCAACAGACCTCACTACCTCTGAGGATGCTTGCCATAGATGCAGGCGAAACGTCAGGAGAAATGCCTCTAGAACATGGCCATATAGCCCGAAAAAACCTACAACAACCCAAATAAAAACTTATTAGTATTTCAATGGGAAGTGTGGGCCTGCTTTAGGCTGATGAGATAGGATTGTTGTTGCTGTTGTTGTTGTTGTGTGTTTTCAAGTCATTTCAGACTTAGGTTGACCCTGAGTGAGGGCCGGATAAATGACCTTGGAGGGCCGTATCCGGCCCCCGGGACATAGTTTGAGGACAACTGATTTAAAGGGCAAATAAATATTCATATCTCTGATTGAAGTAAGACATTGGCTGTATCCAAACATCATTAAAAACATGATTTGTGTTAATGTCCGAATCTATGTCTGTTCATAAACCATGGTTTAGGACAGTCTTCCAAATTATAATATCAAAACATAGTTTTGGGATGGTTTGGTAAAGCTAGCCCAATGACAATTTGCTGAGAGAGGTCAGTTTGTTGAGGCCGCCCAAGAAAAGGTACACTGTATCTGGAACCAGGAGAGTTCTTTCTGCACATGAGTCAGGAATTCCCACAGACACCTTTCAACATCCCTGGTCGTAAAAACAAAATAACGATCAATCAAGAAAAAATTTGTTCCCCTGTCATCACACCCAAGATCTCCTGCCTGAGGCGGACATTTCACTCTCTCTAATAGTAGGGCTATCCACGCAGTTTAGGTAATCTGTAGCAAATTACTATTTGCCATTATGTCCACATTCCCAACTGCTGACAAACTAAGCTTGCTGCAGCCAGCTGCTCTCTTCATTCTTCAGATACACTACAGAAGGCCACTTACATGGTTTAGTACTGAGCTGACAAAAAGTACACATGTGTAATGGTCTTTTTGTTTTGTTTGTTCTGTTTGGTGGGGTTTTATTGGGAGCCGTAGCACATACTTAACACCCAGGTTCAGTCTCGCACACTTATCAAGCAGGATTGGGAAATACTCTTTATCTGAAACCTTAGGGGCCACTGATAATCACTAAGGTGACTGTGAGAGCCGTTCAGCAGTGGAACTCTCTGCCCCGGAAGCTCCTTCTTTGGAAGCTTTTAAGCAGAGTCTGGATGGCAATCTGTCAGGGGTGCTTTGAATGCAATATTCCTGCTTCTTGGCAGGGGGTTGGACTGGATGGCCCATGAGGTCTCTTCCAACTCTTTGATTCTATGATTCTATGAATGGTCTTAATTAGGACCTATCTATATGTAGGGGTGTGAGAAATGGCAAAAAAAATCTGTTCTGTTTCCATTCTGTTTTCAGATTCCTCTCCTACCCTGTTCTGTTTTCAGGAAAATCCTGGGAATTTAGGAGGGGTCTGTTCAGATTCGTAATTTGGTATCCAGAATTCCATTTCAGTTTGAGGAAGAATTTTCCCAAAAACGGAACAAGAATGGAGGGGGGGGGGGAGAGAGAGAGACCCAAAATTAGAACCGGGGGGGGGGGAGAGAGACTTGAAATTCAAAACAAAAACAGAACAAAAATAGAATGAATTTCTCCTGTTTCACACACCCCTAATATAAAAAAGTAAAGGTTGTCCCCTGACATTAAGTCCAGTCATGTCTGACTCTGGGGTGTGGTGCTTATCTCCATTTCTAAGCCGAAGAGTCAGCGTTGTCCATAGACACCTCCAAGGTCATGTGGCCAGCATGACCGCATGGAGCGCCGTTACCTTCCCACCGGAGCGGTACCTATTGATCTATTCACATTTTCATGTTTTCGAACTGCTAGGTTGGCAGAAGCTAGGGCTGACGGCGGAAATTCAAGCTGCTCCCTGGAATCAAACCTGCGACCTTTTGGTCAACAAGCTCAGCAGCTCAGTGCTTTAACCCACTGCGCCACCGGAGGGCCCTAATATGCAACCCATAAATCCTGAATTGGACCGAAGTTACTCTTGGGCTTCCTGAGGATGTCCAAGAACTTCCAGAGTAAAACCAAGCAGCCTGATTTTACCCCACATTAGGAAAAGTCACAGAATGTGATAGTATGGAAAGCTAGGATGGTTCTAATTCAAACCAGTCCAATTGTTTCAACACACACCAGTGTCAACAGTATCAACATGCAAGCTCCACCGTATGGAGTTCAGCAGTGGAACTCTCTGCCCCGGAGTGTGGTGGAGGCTCCTTCTTTGGAAGCTTTTAAACAGAGGCTAGATGGACATCTGTCAGGGGTGATTTGAATGCAATATTCCTGCTTCTTGGCAGGGGGTTGGACTGGATGGCCCATGAGGTCTCTTCCAACTCGATGATTCTATGATTCATGGAGGAAAGGGGATGGATAGGACTTACCTTTTTGTTGTTGTTTGTCAACACAGCAGCAGCCATGATGCTCCAGAGATCTCCTGGTCATTGCTGAGTCCTTTGCTGACATCAGCAAAGGTACCTGGTCACAGGCAAGAGTTCTCTGGAGCTCCATGGCCGCTGCCACAGACAACAACAAATATAAGGGTGAGCATACAGGGGGCTGAACTGAATTTGGCCTGACTGAACGGTCAAGACTTTGTCCCACTATGGCAATAGGATGAAGACAGATGACATAGCTGCCCCTAGGGACAGTTCCAAGTGTTCTCACTTCAGATCAGCACTGCATTTTGTGGCCCATATATGAGGGGTATTTTTTAAGTAAGGTCCGTTTTGTTGTAGACACTAGTAGTTCGTGCGCATACCGCAACGAGTGCGTGCGTCGTGTACCGGCATGCCTCGGGAACAACTGTGCTCAGTTTCTGCTCTGTAGCTAACCTGTACGGTTCTGTTCTGTGCTTTAAAAATGTTTAAGACTATCAACTCATCCTCCGCATGTGAGGTTCGCTCAGTGATACGGTTTTTGTCAGCAAGGAACCTGCCTGCTGCAGAAATTCATCGACAGATTTGTGAAGTGTACGGTGACACTGTTATGAGTGAAAGCAAAGTGCGTATGTGGGTACGACAGTTCAAAGTTGGCCGTGACAACGTCCATGATGAGGACCGCTCCGGTCGCCCTTCTTTGATTACAGACGATTTGGTGGCTTCAGTTGAAGCGAGGATTCCTGAAGAGGGTATTTTAAAATTGGTTCAGAGGTATGATAAGTGTTTGAACAAACTTGGCAACTATGTCGAAAAATAGAGTGAAGTATATACTTTCTGAAAATAAATTTACTTTTTTGAAATAAACTTTCGTTGTGTACTTATGTTCAAACAGACCTTACTTAAAAAATACCCCTCGTATAAGGGTGAGTATACAGTGGGGCTGAACTGAATTTGGCCTCACTGAATGGTCAAGACTTTGTCCCACTATAGCAATAGGATGAAGACAGATGACATAGCTGCCCCTGGGGATAGTTCCAAGTGTTCTCACTTCAAACCAACCCTGCATTTTTTGGCCCATATAGATGGGCCCCTAGTATAAGACATTCCTAGACATTCCTTCTATGAACCGGCACGAACTCTAAGATCTTCTGGTAGGCCCTCCTTTCATCCCCACCACCGTCACAAGTATGATTGGTGGGGACGAGAGAGAGGGCCTTCTAAGTGGTGCCCCCCCCCCCCCCGCCTCTGGAACACCCTTCCAAGGGAAATAAGACAGGCCCCATCCCTCCCCTCCTTTCACAAGAGCTTGAAGACCTGGTGGTTTCAACAAGCCTTTGAGAATGACCAGTTCTAGTCCAGCTCAAACATTGTTGAATATGGCCTTGCACTCTTACCTATTACCCCGGTCATCCCTCTAATAGGCCCTGGAAATAAGCAACTACAGACCCGTACCTGCTATTGCCGTTAGCACTGTACTTAATTCCTGGCCCCCTCATATTTTGAGTTTGCATTAGGCTTGGCCCGGGTTTTTTAATTGCTCAGAACAGGCAGAATTTTTTTAAATATACATGTGTTATTGTGATAATTTTATGCTTATGTTGTTTCGTTAATTTTATGTTATGCTGTTTACTTTGTATGTTTCGGTAATATTACTTGGAAACCGCCCTGAGTCCCCCTCAGGGAGATAGAGTGATATATAAATAAAGTTTATTTATATTATTATTATTATTATTATTATTATTATTATTATTAAAGATTTATCTGTTCAATGATCCTATATTATGTTTAGTATAAGGATTCTATGTTCTCTTGTTGCTTGCAATGTACACAGTCTTGGGTATGGGAATGCACCGGGATTGTGGCGCAGCTGGCTGAGTGTCAGCTGCATTAAGATCACTCTGACCAAAAGGTCATGAGTTCGAAGCCAGCCCGGGTTGGAGTGGGTTTCCAACCAATTGTGTGTAGCCTGTTGTCGACCGTTGCAACCTGAAAGACAGTTGCATCTATCAAGTAGGAAAATTAGGTACCACCTTAAAGTGTGGAAAGGCTAAATTAACTAATTTATGAGACCATAAAGAAGACTCCAGCAGATCATTCCAGCGGGGAAGCATGCGGGGAATGCGGAAGCACTTCATCAGCGTCGCAGATGGACGATGAAAGCGACAGCTCTCCTGGCGGCCAGAAAAAGTTAAATAGCCTCTGTGTATGTCTGTATATGTTTGTATGTCAAAAATTGGCATTGAATGTTTGCCATATATATGTACACTGTGATCCGCCCTCAGTCCCCTCCGGGGTGAGAAGGGCGGAATATAAAAGCTGTAAATAATAAATAAATAAATAACTGTAAAAAAAAGCCAAAGAATTATAGTATGACAGTATATCATGTTCACAATCCCTACTCCTTTTGCTCATTTAACCTCCAGACGCCACCATCACAAAATAGGTTTTAGATTGACTCTCACGTATGATGTCAAGTCATTAATAACATTTCTGGGGCAAGTCAAATCTAATAAAATTGTTGTTGTTGTTCATTCGTTCAGTCGTCTCCGACTCTTCGTGACCTCATGGACCAGCCCACGCCAGAGCTCCCTGTCGGCCGTCACCACCCCCAGTTCCTTTAAGGTCAGTCCAGTCACTTCAAGGATGCCATCCATCCATCTTGCCCTTGGTCGGCCCCTCTTCCTTTTACCTTCCACTTTCCCCAGCATAATTGTCTAATAAAATTACTGCTTTTCAAAATATGCAAATCCGAAGATAGCATACAATTGATCACTTAGAACATTTTGTTTGTAAAGAGTATTTCTTACATTCTTCAATAGCATTTTGTATGTAAATGTATTTGAAAAAAAGAAAATGATTAATCAGAGTAAATATGTACGCACCTAATATGCATTCTTACCTACTATTGGTGGTCCAAGGCTGTTTCCAAGTCCAGCAAAAAACATCAGTATCCCATATGCGTGTGTTAACTTCTCAATGCCCACTGTCTTTGTTGTGACGTATGGGAAAATTGACCAATTGCCCGTCAGAAAGCCTAAAACTCCTGAAAGAATTGCCAGTGTGATATAACTTTGGGCAAATGGGATCAAAACCAGTGCCACTGCAGTCAATATTAAAGTCAAAACATACAGATATAAAGTATTAATCCAGGCAAAATCTGCTAAAATTCCTAGAACAAGTTTGCCAATGGCAGTCATAATGCCGATGATAGAAATGAGAGGAATGATACATTCTTCTTCACTGATATTTGAACTTCTTGCAATGTCTTCCATCAACAGGGAAGGAGGAAACCCACCAATGTCAAAGAAGAAGATGGCAATAAAAAGTGATGAAAATACTTTGTTCTTGAAAAGTTCTAGCGTTTCCTCCCAGTAGTCTAAATATAGGTGCCATTTCTTCTTGGCAAACTGTTTGCAGAGATATGTCTGTTCCACAACTTTCTTTTTGTAAGTGGCTGTCTCTTTTGGTGTTACTGATAATAGACTGTTTTTGATTGTAAGAGCATCCTGTTTACAATCTGTACAAGGCACACTTTTTCCTTCATTTGTGGCTTTTTCAAGGATCTTTATGTTTTCTTCGTCAACATTCTTTTCTTTTTCATTATAAATGAGGTATTGGTCTGGAATTTTCTCAACGCTTGGCTTGTCTGGCAAGGTGGAGCTGCTTGACTGCAAAGGCCTCATGAGACTCCCACATGCTAATATATTTAGAGACAGCGCTCCAACAAGAAGCAAACACCCATCCAGTCCATACAATTCAATAAGTTCTTTTTGTAGGGCAGCATATATAAAAAGTCCAACACTGGAGCCTGAAAAGAGAAAACAGAAAAACCTAAATAATTTTGAAATAAGCCATATTTGACACTGGTTCAACACTGGATTTGTGGAAAGGAGAAGGAGAAGGTGGTGAAGGAGAAGGTGGTGAAGGTGAAGGTGGTGAAGGTGAAGGTGAAGATGAAGGTGTAAGTGGTGAAGGTGAAGGTGGTGAAGCTGGTGAAGGAGAAGGTTTAGGTGGTGAAGGTGGTGGTGAAGGTAGTGAAGGTGAAGATGGTGAAGATGGTGAAGGTAAAGGTGGTGAAGGAGAAGGTGGTGAGGGTGAAGGTGAAGGTGGTGAAGGTGAAGGTGGTGAAGATGAAGATGGTGAAGGTGGTGAAGGTGAAGGTGGTGAAGGTGGTAAAGGTGAAGGTGGGGAAGGTGAAGATGGTGAAGGTGAAGGTGGTGAAGGAGAAGGGGAAGGTGGTGAAGGTGAAGATGGTGAAGGTGGTGAAGGAGAAAGGGAAGGTGGTGAAGGTGAAGGTGGTGAAGGTGAAGGTGGTGAAGGTGAAGGTGGTGAAGGTGAAGATGGTGAAGGTGAAGATGGTGAAAGTGAAGGTGGTGAAGGAGAAGGGGAAAGTGGTTAAGGTGAAGGTGGTGAAGGTGAAAGTGGTGAAGATGGTGAAGGTGAAGGTGAAGGTGAAGGTAAAAGTGAAGGTGGAGGTAAAAGTGAAGGTGAAGGTAAAAGTGGAGGAGGAGGAGGAGGAAGAGGAGGGGGGACTCGGGGCAGCTTACATGAGCCAAGCCCAAGGCAACATACAATTAAAACAGAACAATAACATATTAAAACAGCATAAAAACAACATAAACAAGCACCATAAGCAGCAACAGACATTTTGTAGGGAGGGGGCCAATATGCAAGACTAGTTAAGGATAGGGTGGATAGGACGTATAGTAGCATAGGAATAGAGCAATTAAACAGGAATATTTCAGTTTAACTTAAAGTGTAGTAATCAAATATAGGAATTTGAATTCAAGTCATGGTTAGAGGCCATCTGTCCAAGGGGTCATCAGTCAAATGCACAACGAAACATCCACGTCTCTAGTTCCTTATGGAATGTGGATAGGGAGGGTGCCGGCCTAATCTCCCTGGGGAAGGAGTTCCAGAGATGAGGGGCCACCACCAAAAATGCCCTTTCTCTTGTAGCCCCAAGCCCTAGCCTGGCTAGTAATTAGGTCAATTCCCTGCACTTTACTCATTCCCCGGCCTATATTTATTTATTTATTATTTATTTCCAGTATTTATATTCCGCCCTTCTCACCCCGCAGGGGACTCAGGGCGGATTACAGTGTACAGTGTATGGCAAACATTCAATGCCAATTTGACATACAACATATACAGACATACCAGAGGCTATTTAACTTTTTCTTGCTGCCAGGGGAGCTGTCACTTTCATTGTCCATCTGCAACACTGATGAAGTACTTTCACATTCCCCGCATGCTTTTTGCTGGAGTGCTTTGCTGGAGTCTTTTTTATGGCCTCATAAATTAGTTAATTTAGCCTCCCCACACAAGGTGGTACCTAATTTTCCTACTTGACAGATGCAACTGTCTTTCAGGTTGCAAAGGTCGACAACAGGCTATACAATTGGTTGGAAGCCCACTCCAACCCGGGCTGGCTTCGAACTCATGACTTTTTGGTCAGAGCGATCTTAATGCAGCTGACACTCAGCCAGCTGTGCCACAATCCCGGTGCTACAATATGAGCCCCGACCAGCCCTTTCAAACTATCCAAGCCCACATACAAGTGGGGCCACTGGTAATGTATTCTGCACATTGGATTATTATGGAATGTTTGTTTTAATGCATAGGATTGTGTTAACAGATTATGTTTATATTTTAATAGCTACTCTGTATGTTTTATGTTTGTTTGTGGAAACCGCCTGAGTTCCCTTGGGGAGCAGTATATAAATAAAGTTTTATTATTATTTATTATTAATGTGATTTTACACAAAAATCCATCAAACAATTTTACCTAGAAATTTTTGAAAAGAGTAAGCATATTCCTATATAATTTTGAGAATATTTGTTTTATTTTCTTTTTAAATTCATCAGACGCAACAGAACTCAATCTTTCTTGAGCAGTTAAAGTGAAAGAATGAAAGCACATATCTTTAATATAATAATAATAATAATAATAATAATAATAATAATAATAATAATCCTTTATTTGTACCCCGCTACCATCTCCCGGAAGCTCAGTGCAGCTTACAAGAGGCCGAGCCAAAATGCATCAATAAAAACGACACAGCCATACAGATAATAAATAACTCATAAACAAAGCAATAAACAATAACAGTAACACCACGACACATTAAAAACCTATGGCAGGGCCAAATGTAATAATTAAAATTTTAAAATACTGGGCATGACAAGGTGACATATAACTAGGATGGGTATTTGGAGAGAAATGGAGCGAGCAGACAATCCTAGATCATTAGTAAAGTGCGATTAGGGACATGTTGCTTAGGGTTCCTTATTCTGGGAAGGAAAAAGGAACAACCACGTTTTCAGGCTCCTCTTAAAGACTGCCAGAGTTGGGGCATGTCTAATGTCCTTGGGGAGCGAGTTCCAGAGTTGAGGGGCCACCACCAAGAAGGCCCTATCCTTCGTCCCCACCAATCGCGCTTGCAATGGAGGTGGGATCGTGAGCAGGGCCTCTCCAGATGAACAAAGAGATCGTGTGGGTTCATAATTTTCTAGAGTTTTGTCTCAGCTGAACATGTTTGTAATTTTCTAGAATTTTCTCTCAGCTGAACATGTAATATAGAAAGTTATACAAAAGGGAGAAGAAAATGAAAAGAAAGTGCCGGTGGAAACAGAATGCATGACAGTCTGGTTTGAAAAACAGATATTACTGAATGGATGAGAGACTTATTTTTAGTTCAGATTAAGCATAGAAAAACATTCAAAAAATTGAACATGTTTAAAAAAACATGTTAAAAACGTATTTCACAAATATTGGCAAACTAATGAGAACTTTTGCCATTCGGAATGCATTCTGCACAGAAGTATTTGACAGAGAATAATTAGCAAACTAGAAGTGGTCAAATCAAACTAATTCTAAAGTCCGGAGTCACCAAGAAGATCTGTGCATTGCTTAGGGAGGCTGGAGAAGTGAGGAAATGTATTTAATCATGGTTTCTTCAGGGCAGATGTAATGCTTAGATATGATAATACCATGGTGTGCTACTATCCTTAATCACAGTTTCAATATTGCGATGAAGAGTTCTCTCTTAATGAAATGATAATTTCTGGATAAGGACACCTCGAACAGGGAGATAAACAGACTAAAAACATACCTGTCGAAATCAGGCCAAGTGCAAGCCCTCTGCGTTTGTCAAAATATTGACATGTGATTGTTACTGTTGCAGTATACAGTAAGCCACAGCCAAGTCCTTAAAATATAAAGAAATACATAATAGTACAAAAAATTAGGTGTTCATAGTAGCAAATTAACATTTTGACCATTTTGAATATAAGGTCAAAGTGGTTCATTAAATTAACAAGGGGGAAAAAAGCAATTTTTGCGATTCATAAAGCCCCAACACAGCATATCCTCATACCTCCAACTGGGGGGCTTCTACACAGTCCTATATCCCAGAATATCAAAGCAGGAATCCCACATTATCTGAGTGTGGACTTTGATAACCCAGTTCACAGTCAGCCCATTGTATGCTAATCAAGGTGGTCAGTTGAAACATTCACACCTAGCTCCAGCAGACAAGAGTCCTTTGTCTCACTCTGGTCTTTCCACAGATATATAAACCCTTTTTCATAGTTCCAACAGATCTCACTACCTCTGAGGATGCTTGCCATAGATGCAGGCGAAACGTCAGGAGAGAATGTCTCTAGACCATGGCCATACAGCCCGAAAAAACCTACAACAACCCAGTGATTCTGGCCATGAAAGCCTTCGACAATACATAGCCACAAACAAAGTTTAAAACTTGGCATTATACGAAATTTCCTTTGACCAGAAGCTGGCTACTTCAAGTGCCTCTAGTGTCACTCTAAGAAGCTCCTCTATTGTGTATGTGGCGGAGCTCAAACTGAATAAGCGGTCTGTGGTTTGCTCTACTCCACAAAATAATAATAATAGTAATAGTAATAATAATAATAATAATAATAATAATAATAATAATAATAATAACAACTTTATTTATATACCGCTCCATCTCCCCGAGGGGACTCAGAGCGGTTCCCAGGTAACATCACAAAACATGCAAAGTAAAAAACAACATAACCATAAGATTAGCAAAACAAAATATAAGCATTAAAATTGTCGCCATAACACACATATATTAAAAGTAATCCTGCCTGTTCAAGGCAATTTAAAGGTTTAAAAGGCCGGGCCAAGAGTAGTGCAAGCCCAAAAATTCTAGGGGGCCCGGGAATTAAGTGCAGTACTATGGCAGGCAACAATAATATTAGGTATGGGTCTGTGGCTGTTCATTCCGGGGCCGATTAGAGGAAATAATCTGGATATTTGGTAGGAAGAATAAGGCCGTATTCGACAATGTATAGGGCTGGGTTAGAACTGGTCATTTTCAAAGGCTTGTTGAAACCACCAGGTCTTCAAGCTCTTACAAAAGGAGGGGAGGGATGGAGCCTGTCTTATTTCCCTTCAAAGGGTGTTCCAGAAAAGGGGGGCCACCACTGAGAAGGCCCTCTCTCTCGTCCCCACCAACCGCGCTTGAGACAGTAGTGGGACTGAGAGGAGGGCCTTCCCGGAAAATCTTAGAGCTCGTGCCGGTTTATAGAAGGCGACGCGATCACGGACTGTTTAGGGCTTTATAGGACTCCACTTTGTAGCCCCATTTCTTAAGGTTAGCCCTGCATCTTGTGGTGCCAGAACGTAGTCTATTCAGCACCTTCCAAACCACCCAGCGTTCTGTGTGCCTAGGCAGGAGTTTCTCATCTGGTATCAGCCACTGATTGAGATACTGGGTTTTAACCTGCCACTTTTGAACTCTTGCTTGCTGAGGTGTTCCTGTGAGTATCTCTGTAGATCTTAGGAAGCTGTTTCTTGATTTAAGGCATTGTCTTGCTGGCTGATAGAGGATGGACCGGAGATGTCAATGCCTTGGTCCTTTCATTACTGGCTGCTACTTCCTGATGGATGTCAGGTGGTACAATATTGGCCAAAAAGTATAATTTCTCCAGTGATGTAGGGTGTAGACATCCTGTGGTAATGTGGCATGTCTCATTAAGAGCCACATAGAGATGTATTCCACACTGGGCATGCATACCCAGCAGCAGAGTCGCAAAGCACAAGGGCAGATGAATTCACCTCTTATCATAAAACATCTATTTAGCTAATAGATAATCATAAACTATTTCTGTGAATTTTCTTACCAACAACGATTCCATAGGAACAGAGGAGGACGTAGATATTAGGTGCAAAGCTGCTGATCATCAAGCCCCCAGCAACCATAAAGCCACTGAAGATGGTTACAGATCTTGCTCCGAAAGCAGACACACATGAGCTGCATATGGGACCTATGTGAGAATTGGGTTTTAAAAAGATGACAAAAATAAGTACTATAATGTTCCTTAAACTAATCCTTGAGATTTATGAAATGCTCTCTACAGTAGTTTGAACATTTTGTAATCTTTCACAGTTCTTGAGCAGTGTGTTTCTGCCTTTTCACCAGAGAGAATCCGTAAACATTTATTTATTTAATTTATAGTATTTATATTCCGCCCTTCTCACCCCGCAAGGGACCCAGGACAGATTGCAATGTACATATATGTGGCAAACATTCAATGCCATAGACACACAACATATAAAGACAGACACTCAGAGGCCATTTAACATTTCAGCTTCATTCTGGACACAAGGGGAGCTGTTGCTTCACAATCCATTTGTGACTCTGATAAAGTACTTCCTCATTCTTTGCATGCTTGCTGGAGATTTTATGGCCTCATAAATTAGTTAAATTAGCTTCCCCGCATAAGCGGTACCTAAATTTCCTACTTGACAGATGCAACCGTTTTTCGGGCTGCAAAGGTCGACAGCAAGCTACGCAAATTGGTCAGAAGCTCACTCCAACCCGGGCTAGCTTCAAACTCATGACCTTTTGGTCAGTAGTGATCTTAATGCAGCTGACTCCCAGCCAGCTATGCCACAGTCCCGTTAATAATCAAGGACTCAGATTTTTGTTTTTAAGTCCTTTCATGCTACAGGATTTTAAAGCATGATGATTACACTTTAACAGTCTTGCCAGAAGGCAACATGGGAGTCAGTGCCAATGCCACATCACAAATTTTATGCCTATCTCCCCTTGGACACACACACATTTCATTCAGTTAAATTAGCCTCCCCGCATAAGCGGTAGCTAAATTTCCTACTTGACAGATGCAACTGTTTTTCGGGCTGCAAAGGTCAACAGCAAGCTACACAAATTGGTCAGAAGCTCACTCCAACCTGGGCTGGCTTCGAACTCATGACCTTTTGGTAAGTAGTGGTCTTAATGCAGCTGACTCCCAGCCAGCTGCGCCACAGTCCCGGTATGGAGAAACTACTGGTGGAAATTATTAGTAGAAATCATCACTACATTTTAGAAACCAGCACTACATTTTAGATTCCTTGGTATTTTTATGTTGCTAAACTCATATAATGTAGTTAAGTTACATTATATGAGTCTAAACTGACCATATGATGTTGTTTCAAGCCGCATCATATGACAGTAGGTGAGTCCCTTGTCAGAATCTGAATTACAGCTCCTGGAAACTTCCAAAAATACAGGTCTCCCCTTATGTGCCAGAACATAGGTAGTCTAGGAAGTCTGGAGAGGTTAAAAAAAAAAAAACATTCTCAGACTTCAAAAGCAAAAATGTCAAGCTTACTGCTACGTTTCATGAACATGATCCCTTCGATCTTCCAGAGAGGCCCTTCTCGTGCTACCGCCTCCATCGCAAGTACGTCTTGTGGGGACGAGGGAGAGGGCCTTCTCTGTGGTGGCCCCTCTGCTCTGGAATTTGCTCCCCCGAGAAATTAGGCAGTCTTTAGGAAGAGCTTGAAAACTTGGCTGTTCCAGTGTGCCTTCAAGGAATAATTAACTGAACTATAACCTCTGACTTGACCAAACCCTGCAAAATAATTGTCCTCAGAAGCACTTTATTTTCTACCTATTAGTGCAATTAAACCTTATTTTCGTCCCTCTAATCCCCTGTCCAGATACAATACATTGCCTTCTCACCCAGTGTTTTTAAACTTTTAATATTTGCTATCGGCCATGCCCACTGTGATTTATTTTCTGTGTTTAAATTACTGTGATTTTATATTGTTGATGTTTATTCATATTTATTGTCGAAGGCTTTCATGGCCAGAATCACTGGGTTGTTGTAGGTTTTTTCGGGCTATATGGCCATGTTCTAGAGGCATTTTCTCCTGACGTTTCGCCTGCATCTATGGCAAGCATCCTCAGAGGTAGTGAAGTCTGTTGGAAGTAGGAAAATGGGTTTATACATCTGTGGAATGGCTGGGGTGGGGCAAAGGACCTTGTTATTCATATTGTTTTTGTATTTTACTTTTTATTCTTACATTTTACTGTTGTCGTATGTTGTTTATTTGCATTGCTGTGTTGATAGGCTTGGCCTCATATCTTTATTAATGACTTAGATGAAGGGCTAGAAGCCATGATCATCAAGTTTGGAGACAACACCAAATTGGGAGGGATAGCCAATACTCCAGAGGAGAGGAGCAGGATTCAAAACGATCTTGACAGATTGGAGAGAGGGGCCAAAACTAACAAAATGAAGTTCAACAGTGACAAATGCAGGATACTCCACTTAGGCAGAAAAAACGAAATGCAAAGATACAGAATGGGGGACGCCTGGCTCGAGAGCAGTACGTGTGAAAAAGATCTTGGAGTCCTCGTGGACAACAAGTTAAACATGAGCAAACAATGTGATGCGGCGGCAAAAAAAGCCAATGGGATTTTGGCCTGCATCAATAGGAGCATAGTGTCTAGATCTAAGGAAGTCATGCTACCCCTCTATTCTGCTTTGGTTAGACCACATCTGGAATATTGTGTCCAATTCTGGGCACCACAATTCAAGAGAGATATTGACAAGCTGGAATGTGTCCAGAGGAGGGCAACTAAAATGATCAAGGGTCTGGAGAACAAGCCCTATGAGGAGCGGCTTAAGGAGCTGGGAATGTTTAGCCTGAAGAAGAGAAGGATGAGAGGAGATATGATAGCCATGTATAAATATGTGAGAGGAAACCACAGGGAGGAGGGAGCAAGCTTGTTTATTGCTTCCATAGAGATTAGGACAAGGAACAATGGCTTCAACCTTCAAGAAAGGACATGAGAAAGAACTTCCTGACTGTGAGAGCCATTCAGCAGTGGAACATGAGGAAGAACTTCCTGACTGTGAGAGGCGTTCAGCAGTGGAACTCTCTGCCCCAGAGTGTGGTGGAGGCTCCTTCTTTGGAAGCTTTTAAACAGAGGCTGGATGGCCATCTGTCAAGGATGATTTGAATGCAATATTCCTGCTTCTTGACAGGGGGTTGGACTGGATAGCCCATGAGGTCTCTTCCAACTCTTTGATTTGATTCTATGATATAAGCCGTCCCGAGTCCCATTGGGGAGATGGTAGAGGGGTATAAATTTATTTATTTATTTATTTATTTATTTATTTATTTATTTATTTACAGCTTTTATATTCTGCCCTTCTCACCCTGCAGGGGACTCAGGGCAGATTACAGTGTACACATATATGGCAAACATTCAATGCCAATTTTTGACATACAAACATATACGGACATACACAGAAGCTATTTAACTGGCCGCCAGGGGAGCTGTCATTTTCATCGTCCATCTGTGATGCTGATGAAGCACTTCTGCATTCCCCGCATGTTTCCCCACTGGAATGTTTTGCTGGAGTCTTCTTTATGGCCTCATAAATCAGTTAATTTAGCCTCCCCACACTTTAAGGTGGTACCTTATTTTCCTACTTGACAGATGCAACTGTCTTTCAGGTTGCAAAGGTCGACAACAGGCTACACACAATTGGTTGGAAACTCACTCCAACCCGGGCTGGCTTCGAACTCATGACCTTTTGGTCAGAGTGATCTTAATGCAGCTGACACTCAGCCAGCTGCGCCACAATATTATTATTATTATTATTATTATTATTATTATTACATTGCAACATATGAACAATTATAAATCTTCAGCTATGAGAGCACATCACAATGGTAATGGGGTGGGATTGTGTTCATATTCTGGGGTGTTGCACAGAATATAGGTTTTACAGACTATATTAAATAATCACTATTATAGTTCCAAATTAGTAAAGCAGGAATTTATTGAATGCCCACACATTTATAGCTATAGATCACTGAATTTTGCACCATTATTATGTTTTATTATGTCCCTGCCAGTGCGGAAATGGTATCTTTAGAAAGAATATAGGGGATATTCAATAGGAGTGTTTCTACTTTACCAAGAACAATCAAACCTGACTCATAGAGAATAAATCAAGCTTTTCACTAACAAGAGGTTTTAAAGAATTTGGGAACAATGATTGAGAATTTTTGCTGAGAGTTTTGCGATTGATTTTGATGAAGTATTTCCTTAGAGATTTGGTTGCCATGGAGAGAAGTAGCAGAATCACCTCTTCCCTTTCTGTTGACAATGTCATTTCTGAATTTAATATGATGCCCATCTGACCTGTTCCTTGAAATTCAGATGATCACTTTTCAAGGATGTCATGTGAGTACTGATGACAGATATTTCAATGCAGCCTTCGTTCCAATATAGAAATGTTCAAATCAGAAAGTTCGGATTTTCTCTCAATACTGTCATTAGACTGCATCCCAATGGCATGATTTAACACTCCTAGCCATTCAATGTTAAATTAGAAACCTATGGAGGGGTGGTGGAGAAAGGAGTCAACCAGATTGTCTGAGATTTGATGCAACAATTTCTCCATTGTTTGCTTGAATGTTGCCACCTATGCTGAAGTAGTCTGCTATATGGACCAAGGATTAAGTTAAGGGTTCCTCTGAGGAAATTAAGAGAATGGAATTCAGTGTAATCCCAATATCTATGAGGAATACATAATTCTTATGAGACTTATGACCTCATCATATGGGCCGGTGGAATTGCTACGGACTGTGGTGAATCCAGCAATGCCCGTCCTTACTTACTTACTTACTTAGGCGATCCCTCGTTTTCCGAGGAGGATTGTCTTCCAATATTTTTGTGGGTCCGTATGTGGCTGTGGAGCCCTATTCTTGCTCTGCATCTTCTTCCGCAGTGAGGGCATTGGTTTCCAGGTGGAAGGCAGTCTCGGTCGGGGTTGGCTTGACGCGCCTTCCTCTTGGCACGCTTCTCCCTTTCGCTCTCCATTCGTGCCTCTTCAAATTCTGCAGCAATGCTGGTCACAGCTGACCTCCAGCTGGAGCAGTCAAGGGCCAGGGCTTCCCAGTTCTCAGTGTCTATGCCAGAGTTTTTAAGGTTGGCTTTGAGCCCATCTTTAGATCTCTTTTCCTGTCCACCAACATTCCGTTTTCTGTTCCTGAGTTCGGAGTAGAGCAACTGCTTTGGGAGATGGTGGTCGGGCATCCAGACAACATGGCCGGTCCAGCAGAGTTGATGGCGAAGGACCATCGCTTCAATGCTGGTAGTCTTTGCTTCTTCCAGCACGCTGACGTTTGTCCGCCTGTCTTCCCAAGAGATTTGCAGGATTTTCCGGAGGCAGCGCTGATGGAATCGTTCCAGGAGTTGCATGTGACGTCTGTAAACAATCCACGTCTCACAGGCATATAGCAGGGTTGGGAGGACAATAGCTCTATAAACAAGCACCTTGGTATCCCTACAGATGTCCCGGGCCTCAAACACTCTCTGCTTCATTCGGAAAAATGCTGCGCTTGCAGAGCTCAGGTGGTGTTGTATTTCGGTGTCAATGTTGACTTTGGTGGAGAGATGGCTGCCAAGGTAGCGGAAATGGTCAACATTTTCTAATGTTACACCATTAAGCTGTATCACTGGCATTGGAGAGGGGTTGGCTGGTGTCTGCTGGAACATCTCCTTGGTTTTTTCAATGTTCAATGACAGGCCGATCTTCTCGTATGCTTCTGCAAAAGATCTGCTTCTGAATGCGCACAGACGATGTTGTCATCAGCATACTGGAGTTCTATAACAGATGTTGTTGTAATCTTGGTTTTGGCTTCCAGTCTGCTGAGGTTGAATAGCTTGCCATCTGTCCGATAGATGATTTCAACAAGGTGAAGTATCATAGCGATGAAGATGGAGAATAAAGTTGGGGCAAAAACACATCCCTGTTTGACACCGGATTCCACCTTAAATGGGTCACTTTGGGAGCCATTGCTATCCAAAACTGTTGCCATCATGTCATCATGGAGGAGCCGCAGGATGTTCACAAACACGAAGCTTGGCCTGTCACTGAACATCGAGAAAACCAAAATGCTGTTCCAGCAGCCACCAGCCATCCTCTCCCCAATGCCAGAGATACAACTTAATGGTGTAACATTAGAAAATGTTGACCATTTCCGCTACCTTGGCAGCCACCTCTCCACCAAAGTCAACATCGACACCGAAATACAACACCACCTGAGCTCTGCGAGTGCAGCATTTTCCCGAATGAAGCAGAGAGTGTATGAGGACCGGGACATCCGTAGGGATACCAAGGTGCTTGTCTATAAAGCTATTGTCCTCCCAACCCTGCTCTATGCCTGCGAAACATGGACTGTCTACAGACGTCACATGCAACTCCTGGAACGATTCCATCAGCGCTGCCTCCGGAAAATCCTGCAAATCTCCTGGGAAGACAAGCGGACAAACGTCAGCGTGCTGGAAGAAGCAAAGACCACCAGCATTGAAGCGATGGTCCTCTGACATCAACTCCGCTGGACCGGCCACGTTGTCCGGATGCCCGACCACCGTCTCCCAAAGCAGTTGCTCTACTCTGAACTCAAGAACGGAAAATGGAATGTTGGTGGACAGGAAAAGAGATTTAAAGATGGGCTCAAAGCCAACCTTAAAAACTCTGGCATAGACACTGAGAACTGGGAAGCCCTGGCCCTTGAGCACTCCAGCTGGAGGTCAGCTGTGACCAGCAGTGCTGCAGAATTCGAGGAGGCATGAGTGGAGGGTGAAAGAGAGAAACGTGCCAGGAGGAAGGCGCGTCAAGCCAACCCCGACCGGGACCGCCTTCCACCTGGAAACCAATGCCTTCACTGTGGGAGAAGATGCGGGTCAAGAATAGGGCTCCACAGCCAGCTACAAACCCACAAAAATAGTCATCAAGGAAGACCATCTTACTCGTCCAACGAGGGATCGCCTAAGTAAGTAAGTAAGTATTATTATTATCTGTACATTGTAGGATGGGAGTGGGCAGGCTCCATTGCAAATGGAAAGAGGAACTGGCATATGCTGGTGAAAAATACCCTGTCTGAGAGGTTATTTATCAGTCATACCCAGCTGTTTGAATTCTGTCTAGAAATAGATTAATAGCCAGGAGAGCCATTGTAATAGGGGAGTTGCATGTTCCTGTAACTTGCCTTAGACAACAATCTAGCTGTATCATCCTGCAGCAGTATCTCTTCCCCCATCGCTTTCTGAGAAACAGGATGAATAGGCTGGGTCTCATTTGATAACAGGTGGATTGTGCAATGCTCTTAGATTACGCCAGGCCAACACTATCCAGCTGTACCAAAATAAAGCTGTGGTCTCAATTATCTGAACCCAATAGCTTTATGCACGTGTTCTTTCAACTTCAGTTCCCACTAACGCTTCTCCACAGACCACACAAATGACGTATTCTGAATTTTCAAAGTGGCAAAATAACAAATTCAACCTTTCCATTTCTGACATTAAAATCATAGAATAGAAGAGTTGGAAGAGACCTCATGGGCCATCCAGTCCAACCCCCTGCCAAGAAGCAGGAATATTGCATTCAAATCACCCCTGACAGATGGCCATCCAGCCTCTGTTTAAAAGCTTCCAAAGAAGGAGCCTCCACCACACTCCGGGGCAGAGAGTTCCACTGCTGAACGGCTCTCACTGCCATTACATCTTTTTAACTACTATAGGCAAGAAATGTAGATGACATTGGCATGTAAAAAACATTAAAAGTTAATAAAGGCAGTGTTTTTAAAATTATTTTCCCTTAACGACTTACTTGCAAGTAGTCCAACTCCACCGGCAAGAGATCCCACCCATGCAGTCTTTCCTTTTCCTTCTCCAAACTTATCCAACCACTCAAGATACAGAACTCCAACAGCTAAAGGAGATCCATAGCACAAGAACTGAGTGAAGAAGGATATGAGGACGATCACCCAGCCCCATCCTCCATCTGGTGGCTTCTGAAACACCATCTTCCGGGAACGAGTCAGGGGAGAGCTCTACACAAAAGAACACATACAAATGGAAAACTGGGTAAAACAGAAGAAGTGCATTGCCGTTCTTGTGTTAAGAGCGCAAGTTTTGTTTTGACGTAAAAGCAACATTTTGAGTTAGGAGCTAGTACCAAAAGGACCATTAGTGCAAGAGTACAGGGCTGTTCCATCTCCCAGAAGACTGGTTTGCATTGCTTTTTTTTTATTTGCTTGGAGTGGCTGCCCCTTGCCTTTCCCTCAGGAGCTGCTGCAGCCTTGCAAAGCCTGGAGTTTAACAGCCAAAGGCGGGACAAGCCAGCCTGCAAACTCTTTGCAATGATTGGCCTTGGGAGCAACTCTTTGAGCCCGCCCCTGCTCCCGGGGAAAGACTTCCATTTTGGAGTCCTCCCTGCCAGTTCAGTTCTGAAGAAGGAATCTGATGTTGGTGGCCAGAAAGGTAGCTCCAACAAACCACTGTAAAAACAATTGAGATATTATAGTTAGATAAGCTTAATTGAGTTATAGATAGGAATTGAGAATAGAGTATTGAGAACAATTGAGAAATTAAGATAGACAGAGAAGTTTATTGAGAAGAATTGAGCTATAGTTCACGCTCTTGTCACATCCCGCATAGATTACTGCAATGCGCTCTACGTGGGGTTGCCCTTGAAGACTGCCCGGAAGCTTCAGATGGTCCAGCGCTCGGCAGCCAGGTTGCTAACGGGAGCGGCGCTCAGGGAGCACACCACTCCACTGTTGAGCCAGCTCCACTGGCTGCCAATCTGCTACCGAGCACAATTCAAGGTGCTGGCTTTAGCCTATAAAGCCCTAAACGGTTCCGGCCCCACTTACCTCTCCGAACGCATGAACCGAGGATGCTAAGATCGTCCGGGGAGGCCCTGCTCTCGGTCCCGCCAGCTTCACAAGTGCGGCTGGCGGGGACGAGAGACAGGGCCTTCTCGGTGGTGGCCCCTCGGCTATGGAATGCCCTACCAACGGAGATCAGACAGGCCCCGTCGCTACTGGCGTTTAGGAGGCGGGTGAAGACGTGGCTCTTCGAACAGGCGTTCGGATAAGCATGCAATTAACATCTGACTCAGAAAGACGGCATACTGAACAAGGAATGGTAAAATGACTATGAGATTGGATCTGATTTTATTCGAGGCGTGATGACGCTATGTGTATTGTTTGTGGATGTCTGTCATATGCATTGTTCAATGTTGCACTTTTTATTGTAAACCGCTTAGAGTCGCCTTGGCTGATATAGGCGGTATACAAAAGGAGTAAATAAATAAATAAATAAATAGTTAGCTAGATTATAAGAGAGTTATAGAGTATAAAGAAAAATAGATATTGAGCTTTGAGAATTGACTTTTATAGAGTCTTATAGAGAGAGAGACTGCATTGCCTTATCTCCAAGGCTAATCTGGAGCTTAGATAGATAGGGAAAGATTTGTTCTTTCTAAAAGACAACAGCTCTGGATTAGGCTGAAGGATCCCTGGATCCCTTTGCCATTTGGGGAAAGGCTGACTCAATAACTGGTGGAGAAGAGAAAGAAGAAATCTCTATTTGGTTTATCAATTGACTGTTCTGTTTGCAACTTTGAGAAATAAATATCCTTTTTTGATGTTCAGAACTTGTAATAGATTCAGTTGCTGAGAATCTCAATCTTCTCAAGAAAAGCACCGGCAGTTCGCCCAGACATAGGGAACAGCACATCATAGTTTTGTTTTTAAAAGCGTCTGGGTGTAACGGCACAAGGACTTTAGGGCTTCAAGGGAGCAGCCTCTGTGCCTCGTGCTCTTGTCCGCTTTGAGGACCTTTGGGTTACTTGATTTTGTGTGGTTTTATTTCCCATCTGTTTGGCTTCGTGAAGAGAGAGAGGGAGGAAGAGGAGAGGGAGGGAGGCTGGAATGAGTACATGATGAAGAAGAAAATAATGCTTCTGCCTCTTCACTTTGTGCTTCCTTGCCACAACTTGTGCTTCTACCATTTAAAAGTTGATCTTTCTTTTTTATTGTTCCATGTCAATATGCATTCATACATTCGGGGAACTTGAACAGATTAACAGCATTTCAATGGAAAATTTTGCTTTGAGATAAGAGCATTTTAAGTTAAGCGCTCAGTCATGGAAAAAATTAAACTCGTAGGTAAATGTATCACTGTACCACGTAAGCCTGGTGCTGAGATCTGGATGCAAAAGCACTCCAGGAACTAGTTTTTGGAAAACAACACATCTCAATAGCACTCTGATACTGTCCCATGACATCAGCAAAGTTCAGAAGTCACGTCAAAAAAGCTTCCAATATGCTACTGACCTCACACCAGAATTTTTTTTGTTTGCTTTATGCACAGATAATGCACAGTTTTGCCTCTTTTGGAGGGGCAACGATACCACAGTAATGAGAAATGAATATGTGTTTCAACAATAACACAGTTTTAGGGCAATGCACACACAAGGGCCTCACTCAAATTCTCATACAAGTGCATGTGTTCATATAATAATTCATGTACTAATTCATAAAAAGATAAATCTTTTCAAGTCTGAATTAGAAAAAAAATCAGTATACCGAAATTCAAAAAGAAAAAGGATCCAAAACAAAACAAACATTACAAGAAATACTTAATATGGTTAAAAGAAAGGGTAGTAAGAGTTACTGTCACTAGAGAAATATTTGAGATAAAACGTTCATGACCCAGAATACCACTTTCCAAATTTGGTTTGTAAAATAGTGAGATTGAATCAAAGAACACAACACACTAATTAAAGTACATTAAAACAAAATAACCATGTATTTTAGTGATAATAAAATCTATATAAATAAAAATGTAATGTCCGTTTGTGGGATTAACATAACTCTAAAAACACTGGACGAATTGACACCAAATTTAGACAGCATATACCTAACATCCCAATATATGTCCTTCACTCAAAAAAATTGATATTGTCATTTGGGAGTTATAGTTGCTGGGATTTATAGTTCACCTACAATCAAAGAGCATTCTGAACTTCACCAATGATGGAACTGAACCAAACGAGGCACACAGGACTCCCATGACCAACAGAAAACACTAGAAGGGTTTGGTGGGCACTGACCTTGAGTTTGGGAGTTGTAGTTCACCTACATCCAGAGAGCACTGTGGACTCAAACAAGGATGGATCTGGACCAAACTTGCCACAAATACTCCATATGTCCAAATGTGAACTCAGATGGACTTTGGGGAAAATAGACCCTGACATTTGGGAGTTGTAGTTACTGGGATGTATAGTTCACCTATATACAATCAAAGAGCATTCTGAACCCCACTAATGACAGAATTGGGCCAAACTTCCCACACAGAACCCCTATGACCAACAGAAAATACTTAAGGCCATCCAGTCCAACTCCCTTCACCAGGACAAGAAAACGTAATCAAAGCCCTCCTGACAAAGAGCCATCCAGCCATAGATATTGATAGATTGATATGATTCACGCACACAGAGATATAGTATCATAGATTTGAAAAGGGCCCCTAAAGAAGGACAATTATATGTTGCATGTTCCAGAGTAGGCAAACCAGACACTCTCCACTTCAACACTGACAAAGAAACAGCAAGAAGTGCTGTTTACCCACAAGCATCAAGAAATTGCATATATTAGAAATCAACACTTTCTCATTACTTTATTTTCCAGATCATCAGACTGGGCCACAGCAACGCCTGACAGGGGATGGCTACTACAGTATAAATGGGTATGCAATAAATCCACAAAATAACGTCACTGGATCAATAAAGTAACTTCAGTTTGAAATTATAGTCTGCCTGTTTATTAACGTTTAACCATCTTTGAGTCATACCAATACACCACATCATTCCAAAATGTGAGACAAAAGTGGTGCATAGGACTGTACTGAATCCAAAACAAAGTACGTTAGACTTCTAGACTGGAGACTGAAGCATTCAGGATCTCTACCAAAGCTAACACTATGGTGAGGGATTAAAATATTTTCAACCTGTCTCACAAGGAGCCAGAACGCTGAGAATTAAAAACATTAGATTTGGAAATTATGGGAATTGAATGATAGACCAGTAAAGAATCATAGAATCAAAGAGTTGGAAGAGACCTCATGGGCCATCCAGTCCAACCCCCTGCCAAGAAGCAGGAATATTGCATTCAAATCACCCCTGACAGATGGCCATCCAGCCTCTGCTTAAAAGCTTCCAAAGAAGGAGCCTCCACCACATTCCGGGGCAGAGAGTTCCACTGCTGAACGGCTCTCACAGTCAGGAAGTTCTTCCTAATGTTCAGATGGAATTTCCTCTCTTGTCGTTTGAAGCCATTGTTCCGCGTCCTAGTCTCCAAGGAAGCAGAAAACAAGCTTGCTCCCTCCTCCCTGTGGCTTCCTCTCACATATTTATACATGGCTATCATATCCCCTCTCAGCCTTCTCTTCTTCAGGCTAAACATACCCAGCTCCTTAAGCCGCTCCTCATAGGGCTTGTTCTCCAGACCCTTGATCATTTTAGTCGCCCTCCTCTGGACACATTCCAGCTTGTCAATATCTCTCTTGAATTGTGGTGCCCAGAATTGGACACAATATAGAGAAAATATAGAGACAATATAGAAAATATAGAGACAATATAGAGAAAAGAGAAAGAGAACTACTGAAGTGCAAGAGATTTAAGATTGTAACAAGGAAATTGAGAGAACGTGAAGAAAGGGAGCAAAAGCTTTGGGTATAGTTAACAATCATCAAGGATTTGCATTGTCTCCGGTTGATAGGAAAGCATAGCAAAGCAAGTGTTTAGTCACAAAAAGACATATTTATGCAGAAAGCACACTTGCCTCGCCCAGCCTTGGATGTCCACCCAAAAAGAAAATGGGTACAGCTACAAGAACAAGGTGAGTGTACTGTCCTGTAAGGTTGCTTCCAATGAAGCAGGTTACTTGAAGTCCCAGCCTCTCTCGGGAACTCCTTTAATCCCTCCCCTATGATGTTCATGCTGATATTTTAGTGTCATGTCAGTTTGGGCCAGGATGTTCTT